TTCTATCTCCCTAAGCTCACAGGGCTGAGAAGAGCAGCACTAGCCCTGACTGGCACAGGGTAGAGCCCACCAGGGCCTTTGCCCTGGAGCCTGGTCTGTCTGGCACCGTGCCTCTGACTACGTGTAAGGTGACCAACTTGTCCCAGTTTTGCCTGGGACCTAGCAGCCACACATTGTCCCCTTCCCTGCTGCGGGCCCACTGCTGTGTGTGTTCAGGTCTCAGCAGAGCTGGTATGACAGTTCTAAGGAAATTCCACACCCACATAAACACTGGAGGAGGCCTGGCCTCGCCCTGCAGCCCCGGGCTGTTCCTGTCCCAGCCAGAGCTGTGACATCACCGGATGTGGGTCAGGCCTAGGTGGAGAAGGACTGGAGGGGAGGGGCCTCTTTGGAGCACAGGGCAGGAAGGTGGGGGCTGTCCTCAGTGTCAGGCTGGGGTTCACCTTTTCCTGTGCTTGCAGCACTGTGGGACCTTCCCTCACCCCAGACCTCTATCTACAGTTGAAGGGACAAAGGCCAAACCAGAGGGAGCAGAGCCGAGTCCCCTCACTGTACTGGTTCAAATCTCAGCCCTGCCCCTGGGTGACTGTGTTATCTGGCCCTAGTGGCTGGGAGGGGCTAGATGTAGGTTAGAACAGGTCCTTGCTTCATGCATGTAATAAAGGAAGGTCTTAGCTCACGAGACATTGGGAAATGTATGTTTTGGAAGATTTGGGAAGGTTCTTATCGCATGCCCGTCCCTTCTTAGCCCAAGACCTCTCCTGTGTTGTTAAGACACACACACATCAGTACTGGGGCTGAACTCCCTAGTGCTTTACCACTTGAACAGCACCTCCACTTCCAGCTTTTTTGGGTACTTAATTGGAGATAGGGGTCCCATGAGCTTTTCTGCCGAAGTTGGTTTTGAACCTTGATCCTCAGATCCTGGCTTCCTAAGTAGCTAGGATTTACAGGCCTGAGCCATAGATACTGTGTTCTGCGTTACCAAGATTTCCGTGAAATGTCATTGTGGGGACAACGCTGCTGCTTCCTGCTCCCTGCCCAGCTGCTTGCCTGAGTCACTTTTCTGTCCTCTCCAGGAATGTGGGTGAGGCAGCCCTGCTTCCTCCCTGTTCCCTCACCCACACTCCTGCCTTTAGAGCCAGATTTCTTTTGGGAGGGGTGGGTGGGTGGCAGGAGGCAGAGGTTTGCTGCTACTGGGCCGGCCATTCCAATAGATTGCAGTGTTTGACCCCAGAAAAGGTGGCAGAAAATGCCTTGTGGACCCGACACCTGGAGAATCAAGCGCTCATTTCCCTGTGACTCAGTCTGTAGGGGCCTGTTTTTCACCACTCGAGTTTATAGATAGATGAGTTGCACTTAGCCGTACACCCTCGTCAGAATTAAATCATTAGGCAGAAAAAAATTTGACTCAGCTTTCTGGAAAAAGGTCCTTATGTGGGCTCTGGTTTCCATGACAACAGCCTGGTTTCTAACCATCCTTGTGGACTGGCGAGCTGCCTCCTCCCCTCCCCGCCCAGGCCCTGAAGTCACAGCTGAGCTAACCTGCTGTCTCATCCTGAAGGACACCAAATGCAGCCATCGCTTCCCGATTTTTCTTCCTGAGAGCCTCTGTGGATAGCTCCTGCTGTTGACAGATGTTTTTGTTGTTTGGAAGCTATTAAATTTCTAACCCTTGGATACAGCCACTGAACGCTCATTAACTCTGGGGGAAACGGTGTGTTTGGAGCTATACACACAACAGAGGTTTTGTGTTGTGCTGAGACGAGGTTTGGATGCGTGGAGTGAGGTGTGGGAACCTGTCCTTCTTGAAGGACCTGAGTGTCCCCTTTTGGTTTCCTGCCAGGTGTGGACACAGCTCCTAGACTAGCAATAAGTTCTCAGTAGATGAATTTCTAGTGATTGTTTTTTAATTTCCCCTCAGTAAAGGCCAAGAGTGGGACCGTGGAGTCTTTTTCATCTTTAGGACAAAGGGCTCCGGGCCCCTCTGCCTAGTCCTCACTGTGTGTTTAGAAGGGGGCGTTGTGCTTTGTGTTGGCAAGGACTACAGGTAGGAACTTCTGGTCTGACCCTTATCTTCCTCTTTCCATTTTACAAATGAGGTATAGGAGGCCCAAGAGGGGAGACTTGCTTGAGGTCCTTAATGTTTATTAGCTTCTTTCTTCAGCCCAATGGACCCCTTTGCTCCGCTTCTTCTCAAAGCCCTAAACTAGTGGTTGGGAGATGGAGGTGATAGTTCACCAGGTCCATAGACGTTCAGTCATGGGGCTTGAACTCAGGGCCTGGGCTCTGTCCCATAGCTACTCCTTTGAGCCCTGAACATGTAACTCAAGTACCTGTTATTGGGGTATAGCACATCAGATCCATGTACAATAAACTCCAAACCTTCCCCTGTGGTCCAGCCTCAACTTTATCCACCTGGGACCTCCCTTATTACAGACTTTGGCTCACACCTGCTGCTTTTTTTTTTTTTTTAATGTGAAACTGAATCTTTCAAGTCCTTTTAAGCTCCTTATTTTGATTAAGTCACCCAGGCACATGGTGAAAGGTAAATACTGTATACTCCCTGTAGACCGTCCTCTTGAGCGCCCCCCCCCACCCACCCAAGCGGAGTCCTGCAGTCTTCATCAAGGAGAATTCTAGATTTGTGTAAACACTGATGTTTAGATGGAATGTTTTGGGGAAGAAGCGTGCTGGCTCAGGAGCAGTGCTGTGTTACTTTGATGGCATGGCTTAGAAAACCCATGAAAGGTGCTTTGTCTTTTTATTTTTTTTATTTATGTATTTATTTATTTTTTGGGTCCGGTTGTGGGGCCTGAACTGGGCCTGAACTCTGGGCCTGGGCGCTCTTCAGCTCAAGGCAAGCACTCTACCACTTGAGCCATAGTGCCACTTCCGGCTTTTTTCTTTTTGCCTGTGTGGTGCTGGGGAATTGAACCCAGGGCCTCAGGCATGCAAAGCAAGCGCTCTACCACTGAGCCACCTTCCCAGCTCCATGCTTTGTCTTTTTAAATGTCTTTAAAAACTTTTAAACTGGTGCTAGATAACCCAAGGCCTTGTGCATCCTAGGCAGGTTCTGAGCTCTCTCTCCAGCAGTCTCAGACAGCATTCTTCTTTATTTCCTTTCCTCCTTTGGCAGTACCTCTTGAGCCACACCCCCAGTGTTTAGTTTGTTTTTCAAATAGGCTCTTTACCTGGACTAGTCTTGGACCATGAGTCTCCTCCCTTCACCTCCTGAGTAGCTGTGATTACAGGTGTGAACTACCATGCCTAGTCTGTGCCAGCACACCTGGCTAGCCTTGTTCTGAATGGCTGCAGACTGTTCCAAGGTGCGGCTGTAATGTATTATTAGATCTGTAGTCTTATGGTTGGACATCTTGAGCTTGCTTTGTTACTGAGACTATTGAATATGTTTCTGGGAGGAAGCTGTTGGGCCCTGTGGACACATGGGGTGTTTCTATGTAGGACTTACTTGTTCAAGAGAAGGTATACCTCTAGGGGCTGAGCCTAACTCAGGTTACAACCCCCCCCCCCCAGGTCAGTCATAGGACCTGAACTCAGGGCCTGGGAGCTGCCCCTGAGCTCAAGGCTCGGTTTCTAACACATTGAGCCATTGGTCTACTTCCAGTTCTTGAGTGGTTAATTGGAGATAAGAATCTCACAGACTTTCTTGCCCAGGCTGGCTTTGAACTGGGATCCTCAGTTCTCAGCTTCCTGAGATGGCGTGAGCCACTTGCACCTGGTTCCTGTGTGTGTGTCTGTTTGTGTGTATGTGTCTTTGTGTGTATGTGTCTTTGTGTGTGTAGGTCCTGGGGATGGAACTCAGGGCCTGATGGTGGCTGTCTCTGAGCCTCTTTATGCTCAAGGATAGCACTTGATCACTTGATCCACAGCACTCCTCCCAGCTTTTTTCTGAGTAGTTTATTGGAGATACAGGTCTCACAGACTTTTCTGCCCTGGTTGGCTTCGAATTAGGATTACAGGTGTGAGCCACCAGCACCCGGCAGGTTGCATCTTTTTAGTGAGCTTCTGGACCTAACTAGCTGCTCTGTTCTTTCAGCCCAACCCGGTGGGCTCCTCAGGCCTTCGTTTCCATGTCTGTGGGATGGTCCCCAGATTGTGGAGTCTTTCTGCTTTGCATGCCCCAGGCTGGGTCTCCTGAACCTTTGTTCAGGATTTTTCTGAAGCCTGCTGCCCCTGTGTGGACTAAGCTGCCCTTGTTTCCAGTTGAAGAGGATCATGGGAGGCTGATGCTGCGGCTCCACTGGGCCCTGTCACCTCCATCAGCAGACAGAGGAGAGACAGAGATGTGCACGTACACAGCCTGCACCGTGAAGCTGGAGGAGAGCTCCTCCTTTGGGATTGTCGCTTCCTCTGCTCTGCCCCCCTTTGTATGGCTGTGGCTGCCATTCGTCAGTCTGGCCATCCGGGGTGTGGGATGGATGGACTCCAGCCCCATTTGCAGGTGGACGTGGGTGGTGGGAGAATTTGTATTGACATCATGGGACAGTGAACTCAAGGGCTGACTCAGGAGCGTGGTGGGGGCTCTCCAGGTGAGAATGAGCGAGGGTCATTAAGCAGAGGAGGGTCTTAAGCAGGGTACCCGCAGAGGTGTGCCAGTTGGCCTTGTCGGGGGAGGGGTTGCTGCCATGGTCGGCGGGGCGGCATGGTTGGCTTCTTCCACGTGGGTCCACCCCTTGCGGTCTCATGTGGTGGGGGAGTTGGGTGGAGGTCTCCTAGGGGCAAGAGCGTTCCTGGTGTTCATAGGACAACCCTTGGCCTGCTGGTCATGTCCTTGAGCTCAGGGACAGCACCCAGGCCCCAGGTTCAAGCCCAGAACCCATAACAACAACAAACTAAATGAAAATAAAAAATGTGAATGTTAAGGCTGAAGACAGACTGGCACCCGGAGGGGGGGGTTAATACTGAAAGAGGAGGGGGCCCCGAAAAGACTTGAGCTTCTACTGCTTTTAAAAATCAGGGGTGCTGTGTCTTTTCAGATCCTGGCTGTATGGAGAGAACGGCCCAGAAGCGCAAGTTCCCCAGCCCGCCACACTCCTCCAACGGCCACTCACCACAAGACCCCTCGGCCGCCACCAGCCCCATTAAAAAGAAAAAGAAACCCGGCTTACTCAACAGTAACAATAAGGAGCAGGTAACAGCCACTGGGCGTGGCATCAGCACCAGGGGACAGGCCAGCCAGCAGCCCACAGCTCCCCTAGCATTCTAGAACATTCATTTAGCAAGCTGGGCCCATCTGCCCACCATGGAAGGACAGCTCAGAATGGACACCTCCCCCTCTTCACCCCACACCCCTCCAGAAATCGCCAGTGGGTTGTTGAGATCTGTTTTGGGGCCAGAGCACAGTGACCCAGATGGGGTGAGGAGATGGTTCTGGAAAGGGGTCAAGCGGGGCTTTCCCTTAGGTTGGTTTTATTCCTACCGTGAGGACTTGAGTTCCCTGCAGGCCAGGCCAGTAGCAGGGATGCCCAGCTCTCTGGAGAGGACCTTGCTTCCTGCCTGGCTCAAATTTTTTTCTCATCTGTAAAAGGAAGGACTCCAGGCTGTGGGGGAAAAGCATTTCCCCAGTTAGCCACACTGCACCCTGAGTGCGTGTGTGTGTACGTGTGCGTGCACACACACACACATGCACACACACATACACACTCCCTCCTTGGTGGCCGCTACTGGCAGCTAGGTGGGGAGATCTGGGATCTTGTCTACAGAACCTTCTAGTTTGAAGGATGTCTCCAATGCAGGCTGGATGGTCATCTAAATAGGGAAACCAGTCAGGTTAGTGAGTGTACCAGCTGGTGTCCCTGTCTCCTCTGCACTGGGAAGTCAGGCCCCCCAGAGTTGTCATGTTCTGGATCGTCCAGTGTTGAGTGTTGAATGGCTAGACCATGAGGTTGAATGAAACAGCTAATTACTTGCTTTTACCAGGAGATACCTAGCATGGGTAAATGCCCTGACTGTGAGTGCAGAAATCTATTTCTTCTCTCAAATATGATGATGATGATGATACTGGGGTTTGAGCTCAGGGCCTTGAGCTCTTCCCTTGGCTTTTTTACTCAAGACTGGCCCTCTACCACTTGACCACTACCCTCACTTCTAGCTTTTCTGTTGGTTAGTTGAAGATAGGAAAGAATCTCATGGACTTTTCTTTTTTCTTTTTTTGCCCAGGCTGGCTTTGAACCAGGACCCTCCCTGCTGAGTGGCTAGGTTTATAGGCAGGAGTCACCAGCATCTAGCTCCATTCCTCAAATTATATTGTAGGACTTTGCTCTGTGGGTGTGGCCAACCTCACCTCTCAGCCACCACAGTGGGGTGCTCAGCTTGCAGGACTTTGTGACACACCACCAGCTCCATGACATATGGTAATAACACCTTTAAACTAAGCCAGGCACTTGGCCCAGTGCCGTAATCATGCACTGTGCCATAACATGAGCGCTGTTTGTAGAAGCCTTCCAGACCCCTGCTGTCCCATGCTGCCCCCCACAAGCCATGTATGGCTCATGGATATGCAGGTAGCAGTGCTGACCGGCCACCTGTGTTGCTGATTTCCCTAATGTCCTGTGGCTGCCTGTGGTGAAGGTTGCTTGCCTGTTGGATGGCCCAAGCCTCACCAGTCACCATCTCATGGGTGGAGCCTAGAGAAGCTGTTGGGGCTTTGCAGTTGGAGAAAAAGATGTGATCATGTTGAGAATGTTAATGTGGAGGCAGAACTGGCTCTGCCCCACTGTTAACACAGGGTCATCTTAGTGTTAGTGGCAGCCCGTAACTGGCTCCCTTGGACAGGGAAAATGAGGTTCAGAGAGGTTCAGTCACCTCCTCAGGGTCTCAGCTAGTGAGACACCAATAAGCTCTGCTTATTGGCTTAGAAGTTGGTGACAAGGTGTAGGGACACTAGCCATTTCTTAGCTGTCAGGACTAAAGATTCAAAAAGACACAGCAGCCGGGCGCTGGTGGCTCACGCCTGTAATCCTAGCTACTCAGGAGGCTGAGATCTGAGGATCGCGGTTCAAAGCCAGCCCGGGCAGGAGAGAACGTGAGACTCCTATCTCCAATAAACCACCAGAAAACCGGAAGTGGCGCTGTAGCTCAAGTGGTAGAGCACTTGCCTTGAGCTGAAGAGCTGAGGGACAGCGCCCAGGCCCAGAGTTCAAGCCCCACGACCGAAAAAAAAAAAAAAAGACACAGCAGTGGGGAGCTGTGGGACCCAGCAGGGCTGGGGTGCAAGGACATACATACCCCAGTGATCTGCAGTCTAAGGGAGAGGGGAGAGGGGCTCTGCCTGCCCACATGGCTCTTTCCCGCCAGGCCATCTGCTCCATTCCTGGGAGCTCTCAGTTGCTTTGTCTTGGAGTTCCAGTGACATCACAGAATAGGGCTGTGTGTGAGTACTCCGGTGAGGCAGATGATAGCTTTGCTTCTCCCAGCCCCAACTCCAGGGCACATATTTCATAGGCAAGGATGGAAGGAGCCATGGGCCCTTGGCCCCACAACTCTGTGTTCAGAGTAGTCATCTCTTCTCTGGAGCCTTTGTTCTGTGTCCCTGATTGCTCACCAGCCTTTGGGGATCTTGGATTTCTGCGTTCTTGGGAAAAGCTTTAGACTGTTGGAGTTGCTGTGACAGAATACCATAGACTTGGCCCAGCAAAGACACACTTGTTTCTTGCAGTTCTTCCTGCTCATCTGTGATCTGTCAGGGTGCATGGGGCAGCTTGGGCTCCACACCCCAGGGGCACGTTGGGCAGGGCGGGGAAGAGAGCTTGTAAACACTTTTTTTGGGGGGGTCTGTTGTGGGGTTTGAACCCAGGGCTTAGGCACTGTTCTTCTCCCTGAGGTCTTTCACTCAAGGTTAGTGCTCTACCACTTTAAGCCACAGCAGCACTTCCAGTTTTGTGGTGGTTAGTTGGAGAAAAGAGTCTCATAGACTTTCCTTCCTAGGCTGGCTTTGAACAGTGATCCTCAGATCTCACCTTCGTGAGTAGCTAGGATTACAGGTGTGAGCCACTGCCACGGGGCCTTTGTTTTGTTGTTTTTTGTTTTTATTTTTTTTTGGAAACAGGGTTTTCCTATGTAGTCCAAGCTGGCCTTGAACTCTCAATTCTCCTGCCTTTGCTTCCCCAGTGCAGAGATTACAGGCATGTACCACCACACCTGGCTGAGGAGCCTGTTTTGTTTTTGTTTTTTTTGGTCGGTTTTGGGGCTTGAACTCTGGGCCTGGACTCTGTCCCTCAGCTCTTCAGCTAGCACTCTACCACTTGAGCCACAGCGCCACTTCTGGTTTTCTGAGTTTTTTTTTTTTTTTTTTTTAAGAGATAAGTCTTATGGACTTTCTTGCTCAGGAGGGCTTTGAACTGCCACCCTCAGATCTCAGCCTCCTGAGTAGCTAGGATGACAGGCGTGAGCCACCAGCATCCAGCTAGGAGCCTGTTTTTATAAAGTTTTATTGGCACCCAGCCACATTCATTTTGGGTGTGGGGTCTGATTTTATACTAGAATGGCAGAGTTGAGTACTTGCAGTAGAGACTGGCCTGCCAAGGCTCACCTGTTTGTTTTTTTCATGGAGCCCTGTTTGGTTTTAGCAGCCTCCTCCAGGATAGGCGCAGGTGTTTCAGGAATGAGTGAGCAGCTCTTGGCCATTTTCTTGTTAAGCAACCCTGTGGCTAGGGCTGGGGAATAGGCACGTTGGTTCTTTAACCTGTAATTATCTCCTCACAGCGTATGTCGCAGCCTGTTTGCTTTGCTGTCAGGCTGGTTACACGCCTTACATATGAGGTGGAGTAGGGATTGTAATTCATTTTACCTGGAATGATTTACTCTTCTTTATGGAACTCTCCATGTGTAGCTGGGCACTGGTGGCTCACGCCTGTAATCCTAGCTACTCAGTAGGCTGAGATCTGAGGATCACTTTTCCAGGCAGGAAAGTCCATGAGTCTCTTAACTCTAATAAGCTACTAGAAAAAGCTGGAAATGGTGGTGTGGTTCAAGTGGTAGAGCGATAGCCTAGAGTACAAAGAGGCTCAGGGACAGTGCCCAGGCCCCGAATTCAAGCCCCAAAACCAGCAAAAAAAAAAAAAAAAAAGTCCATATTTGTTATCAGATTATGGAATTGGAAATAGTTAGAAGCAGCAGATAGGAGAATATCTGATGTGATCAACAAGGAGAGTAACGAGGCAGATCTGCTCTGTGCGTGCGAGCGTGCTGGTACTGGGGTTTGAACTCAGGGCCTGTGCACTGTCCCTTAGCAGTTTCACTCAAGGGTGGTGTTCTACCATGTGTGCCACAGCTCGACTTCTGGCTTTGGAGGATTCCTGCCGAGGCCAGAAAGATCCTCCAGATCTCAGCCTTCCAAGTAGCTAGGATTGCAGGTGAAAGTCACGAGTAGCAGTGGCAGCTAGGCCTCTTAGAGGGTGGGGTAGTCCAGTTGTCCTTGTGGCTCCGGGGACACCCACTCCCAAATGGGCCGTGGAGGAGCCTAGGGGAGACTTAATTTTGAGGGATCAGTTCTCTGGATGGTGTTCAATCCTCAGCACTCAGAATACAAAGACAATTAAAAAAAATATCCCAGCTTGTAGTCAGCCACCCAGCCACCTGGGTGGCAGATTAGGGGAGTAGTAGCTGTTAGATTCCCTCACATTTTGTCATTCTATTATTTATTTGTTTGAGTTATTGCTGTTTGATTTTCCCCACATATTATAATTTCATTTCTATTTGTCTGTTATTTTATGTATTTATTAATGAAGCAAATAGGGTCTCCCAGGCTGGCCTTCAACTCCTGATCTTCCTGCCTCAGCATCCCCAGGGCTAGGATTACAGCCATATATACCCTGCTAGGACTTGTTGGTCTTCATGGCTTCCCTGTACTATTACTAACATTAGAAGGTAGTCAGGTTACCAGTCAGATTTACTACTCTATTACAGTGCTCGTGGTAAAATCCTAAGATGCCCCACTTTGATTAGCGGTACTTCTACTTTCTTCATAGGTAAAGATTTTCCTTCTCTTCCCCCCCTGGGGAAAGCAGCTAGCTCCGTAGACTTTCTGGATGGCAGTTTTCAGCCGAGGATAGTTTTGTGCTCCGGGGAATGGGGAACATGGCACTGTTACCATGGGTGACAGTGGTTTGTGTGCATGGTGGTCTCACTCGGTCTCATGGGTACTGTTGCCCATAGGAACTTCCCAGCAGTCACCGGTGTTAAGCTTGAGAGTCCTGACCAGGTGCCATTCTGTCCCCTCCTGCAGTCCCCCTACTTTTCAGAGCTCCAACTTTCTCAAGATGGAGTCTTGCTGTCTGGCCCTGGCTGGCCTTCAGCCTCCAGCTTCTTGCCTCAGCCTCTTGAGTGTTGAGATGGTAGGCAGGATTGTTTTTCTCTATCGTGTTCCTCTGAATTACAGAGCATGCTATCCGTGGTGTCTAAGGAGGAGAGAGGTGGCTAGGAGACTGAGTTCAAGTCCTGGCTCTAGACTCAGATGTCAGATTAGTTGTTCGTGGCTAAATTTTCCCACCTGTTATAAAAAAACTAATAGTGTTTACCCTACTCCATACCTGTCAGGTTTACCAGGAGAAAGTGAAGTGCGGATGCTGGGTGCTGGTGGCTTACGCCTGTAATCCCAGCTACTCAGGAGGCTAAGATCTGAGGATCACAGTTCAAAGTCAGTCAGGGCAGGAAAGTCCATGAGACTCTTAACCTCCTATGAACCACCAGAAAACCAGAAGTGGCGCCATGGCTCAATGTAGAAGAGCGCTAGCCTTGAATGAAAGAGCTCAGGGACAGCACCCAGGCCTCGAGTTCAAGCCTCATGACGAACAACAAAAAAAGAAAGGGGCAGCCTGGGCCAAGACATGGCAGGCAGGGCACCCTGGGAAGAAAGGTCAATGTGGTGATGTCATCCCTTAGAAAGCAGGGAGAGTTCAAAGGTGAATGACACAGGAATGTGAGTCTGGGCTCACTTAGCTAATTGCTTGTGTGACAGGAGAGCAGAGGTTTAGAGAGATTGGTACATGAGCTTCTGTGAGGCTGCCAGACATTTTGGGAACATTAAAGCCTCACAAATAAAAGCTGAGAAGAAGACACGGGCTGCCTGCAGTGTCTGCTGTTAGAGCCCAGAGCTCCTGGCTTCTAAAGTGAGGAAAAAGAGGTGGTAGCTCATTCCTGTAACCCCAGCTACTTGGAAGGCAGAGGTCAGCCAGAGCATAAATTAGGGAGACCCCATTTTTACAAGTAATTTGAGTATGATGGCTTATGTGTAGAATCCCAGATTTGCTTAAGGTGTAGTTAAACCGTGGGCTTTGTCCTTTGCCCCCCAAAAAGAGAATCTATCTGAAAAAGTAATAAAAAAAATTGGGATGAGGATGTGGCTCAAGTGGTAGAGCATCTGCTTAGCAAGCTGTTAGGCCCTGAATTCAAATCTCCAGTACCAACAAAAAAAGAAAGTCAATGGTCAAGTACGTACCTAGAATGTGTGGGGCCCTGGGTTATATCTCATGGCCACAAAGAAGACAACAATAAGCAAGAAGAAAAGCACAAGTATTAGGTTGAACAGACGGGACTGATGTTTCCGAGAAACAATGTGATTTTCAGTCAATAAACCAAAAACTATTTGAATTGCTTAAATATGAAGCCGGTCTCAACACTGTATCATGGTGCCCATGTTCAAACCATCATCCTCTAGAACATCTAGGCAAAGATCCCCTCTTGTTAACACCAAATACTACCCGCAGAGGCTTTCAGAGAGGAAGCGAAGCTTTTCATCCCGGGACCACAAAAGAAACTTGTACAATGGTGTGCATTAAAAGGTAGATAACAGGAGCCAGGTGGGTGGCTCACGGCTATAATCTCAGCTGCTCAGGCAGCTGAGGAGCAAGCAAGACCCAGAGCCAGCCCAGGAAGGAAAGTCCTCAATTCCATCTCCAATGAACCAACCAAAAGCTAGGCTGAAGGTAGAAAAAGCATCGCCCCAAAACAAAACAAAAGACAAGGGTCAGTAATAGGGATGTGGCTAAACCATCCTAGTTTGTGTTTTTGTTGTTGTTTGTTTTTGTTAACGAATGGAGGCCCAAAGTGGGTTGTAGCTTTCTGAAGGTCACACAGCTGGTCACCAGGTTGACATGGGAGCCACACCTCCAGTTCTGGCCTTTTTTATTCTTTTTGGTAGTTTACTAGAGATAAAAGTCTCACGGTTGGGGCTGGGAAGGTGGCTCAGTGGTAGAGTCCTTGCCTTGCATTCATGAGGCCCTGGGTTCAATTCCTCAGTACCACATAAGCCAAAAAAAAGCCAGAAGTGGTGCTGTGGTTCAAGTGTTAGAGTGCTAGCCTTGAGTGGTTTATGGGAGATAAGAGTTTCACGGACTTTCCTGTCCTGGCTGCCTTTGAACTGTGATCCTCAGATCTCAGTCTCCTGAGTAGCTAGGATGACCAGCGTGAGCCACCGGCGCCTAGCTTGATGGACATCTTTTTTTTGGGGGGGTTCCGGTTGTGGGGCCTGAACTCTGGGCCTAGGCACTGTCGCTCAGCTCTTCAGCTCAAGGCTAGCGCTCTACCACTTGAGCCACAGAGCCATTTCCAGCTTTTTTCTTTTTGCTTATGTGGTGCTGAGGAATCGAACCCAGGGCCTCATGCATGCAAGGCAAGCGCTCTACCACTGAGCCACGTTCCCAGCCCCTGATGGACATTTTTGTACTAAGTTTTTTCACTGTGATTTCTGTGTTTGGAGTGTGGTTTTGGTATTGTACAGGGTTTTAGAGGAACAGTTCTCATCTGACATGTTGGGATAGGAAGAGTTCTGGTTCCCATGGATTGGTGCAGATAAGAAATGTGTCTCTTGTTTTGAGAGGACTTGTCCTGTTCACCAATCCAGCCTTTAGGAATCTGTACTTTCTGCGCCACAGGTGGACTTAAAAAACAAAACACACAGTCATGGTTTGTTGACCCAAATCCGCTTTCTCCAGTTGCCTGTAACTTAGAGAATCTGGGTAAATTGCCGTGCATGTTAACAGTATAAGACTGAATATGTATATACTGGGCTCTTGATACTGTTAGTAACTGTGGAAGACTGAACGTGTATATACTAGGCTCTTGATCTTATTAGTAAGATGGATTCACACCCTTGTTCACCCCACTGAATGTCAACCTAGCACCCCAAGGTTAGCCGTTGTCAGCTTCATTTTACAGATGAGAAAACTGAGGGTTGTGAAGAACCACAGCCAGGGTCCTCCAGCTAGCTGGTTATTAATGCTAGAGATAAAAAGCCAGGTATTCTAGGGCTGCCCAGTAACTTGATGCTGGCCTTTAAGGCCTGGCCTTTCCAAATAGCAGGTTGGGGGGACACCCCTCCCCTTCCCCAATCTAACCGGTCCCTCATGCTACCTGGAACAGAGTGACCCGAGCTAGTGTGGCTGGTGGGGAGTGGGGGGGATGAGGCACTGTGATTTACTTGTTCAAATTCCTGCTGATGATGCACATTTGTTTTGAAACCCCGCCTGTCTTTCTTGCCTACATTTCAGTCAGAACTAAGACATGGTCCGTTTTACTATATGAAGCAGCCACTCACCACAGACCCTGTTGATGTTGTACCGCAGGATGGACGGAATGATTTCTACTGCTGGGTCTGTCACCGGGAAGGCCAAGTCCTTTGCTGTGAGCTCTGTCCCCGGGTTTATCACGCTAAGTGTCTGAGACTGACATCGGAACCAGAGGGGGACTGGTTTTGTCCTGAATGTGAGGTTAGTTCCCTGACGAATGAATTCACCTTACCTGCCTCGTTTCCTCTTCCTTTCTCTTTCTTCCTTTCAGTTTGACATTTGCACATAATCCCAAAAGGGGGGAAAAAAAGAGAAATTTCTGGCCTTCTTGTCTGCTCTGTCCGAGCCGCCCCTCCCCTCCCTGTGGACCAGCGTCTGCCCTGGCTGCCGCCCAGCCGCTCTTGGGAAGATGATTTGCCTTGTTGTCATGGCTTCCGCTGCTTCACGAATCCCCGGATGGCTTTGAAATCTGCAGCTGCCTCTGCTCCTTCTGTAGCAAATGCCTGGGAAGTGAACTTCTAAACCTTGTTCCTGCGTGTTTTGGGAAAGATCTGGTGTTCTGTCCCCCTTTCTTGGATGTTTTTCCTGCTGCCTCATTGAATCGCCGGTAGGAGTCAATCCAGGAAGACCAGTTTTGGGGTGATGCCTGCGCAGCAGCCATCTGATGCATCTGTTCACTCAGCACACATTCCTTGGAACACATACAGAACTGCGTGGATGACACCCTCCCAACAGGAGACAAGTGCCCGAATAAAGTAAATGAGAGGGGAGAAAAACAAATCAAAACGAGACATTTCAGCAGACACCGAGTCTCCTTGACGGGCCCAGGCCTGGAAGCCACATTGCCACGGGAAGACAGTGGAAGAAGAGCTGAGTGGGCAGAGCGCCTCGCAGCCACCTGGGAACACCTTGTCCGCATCCTGGCCTTGATGGTACCCCCATTCCCCTCCCCCTGGTGTCTTCCTGCCGCAAAGCCCTGGGCCACTGCTCGAGATTTGCCCTGTGTTTACGTGGCTTCCGCTTTGGCAGCGGGTTTTTTTGAATGCTGGAATGTTCGTTTACCAAGTTAACAGTGTAGAGTGTCTCTTGCCTTCCATAGTACCTCTCAGATGAGGAAGCTTTCTGTGTATGAAATGGAAAATCACCCAGGTACCTTTAGTGTAATAAAAATCCCCAATCGAGTCCCAGGATTAAATCTCTGGTGCCACATCTGTGCAAAGGAAGGAGAAGGATAAGAGCTAGAGGAGAGCAAATTAGACCTCTAGGCCTTGTCACTAGAGGACAGTAGAGGCTCCCTGACTTGTGACTTCTCACCAGACCCGCTGTCTGTACCTTCTGAGACTAATGTCCTCCGTGACCGTACTCTCCACACGTGAGTGCCTGGGAGCCTTCACCAATTTGCCTTTGTGTTGACCAGCTCTTCACTGACAGTGCCAGGTAGACGCTCTGCGGGGTAGATTGTCCTCTGTGGATGATGCTAGTTTCTTGTGAAAGGTGGCCAACACTCTACAACTTGTAACCCTCCTGTGTGGCCGGAGTCCCTAGGGAGGACCAGCCTCCCCGTCCCCACGGCCTTGATCGCCATGGAGGACTCAGCTCTGTGGTGTGTGGAGACAGATTCCTCGGATGACAGGTGTGAGCCACCAGCACCCAGGTTCCTTGCTTACCCATCGCTCCCACTGACTTGTCCAGGGGTTCATTGGTGAGCATCTGTGGGGACGGCAGACCCTGTCAGGCAGGAGGAAGGTGCCAGATCGGGAAGGAGGGAGGGAATGACAGGTGAGCAGTAGCTGGAAACATGCTGGGGTTCAAGGAATACTTCATCTATACTTCAGAGGCCCCTGTTTCTTCCAGGTATTATTTGGCAAAGCCTGCAGCTGGAAGGCTGGGAGGCTTCAGGCCCCTGCCATCAGGCAGTTAGATCGCGTGCCTTGTACTGTTCTCAGCCAATCAGTGTCTTTGTCTGCCAGACACAGGAGACGGAAGGGAGGTGAACTTCCACCTCTCCAGTGCCCAGTACTCCAAGAGCTTTTCCTGACGATAATGAAGTCTCCTGGTTTCATTGTCACTGCCACCCAAATCCTTAAAATGTGGTTCCAGACTTACACAGAAGAGCCCCTTATCTGGGTTGCTGAGACTCTTATCTGGGTTGCTTAAGATGGGAACTTCTTTTACAAAATGACAAGTTATTGCCTGTGGATGTAGACAGCGAGGCTGTGCCCCTTTGAGAGATTTCCAGAGCAGCCTGAATAGGTTCCCATTAGTAGGGACAGAACAAAGTCCTGTTAACTATTGGCACAGCTCTATCCTCTGAAGCTCAGTCTGTTTATGACTGCCCTGTTAATTGTAGATGCCCTGCCAGGCTCCTGAACTCAGGACCCCTGGAGGATGCAGATAGTGAGCAGGGAGGTCACCTTGGTGAACCTGTGGCCCTTCCTTTTACTTCCCAGTCTTGAGATCCAAGGGTTACAACACTGGTGATTGTCCAGATGGCATCTGCCCACACCTTTCTCCAATCAGCTCCTGTCTCCATGAGCTAGGAAAACACCTGGCTCCACATGGAGATGCTATCCTGTTTTACTAACCAATGGTATAACATACAAATGCTGTTCATTTTACTGACCAATCCAGTACAACATGCAAATGATGTCTTCTTTACTGGCCAATCCAGCACAAGATGCAAATACTGTTTGTACAAGTTGGTCCCAGAGATGGATACCTCCTTGCCCACCTAAACAGCTCTTCATGTTTAGATGGGAATTTTTTTTTTAAGGGGGAGAAAAAGTAGAAGGAGAATTAATGCATGGCTAGTCCTGTCTGTTTTTCTAACTGCATCTGTGTATTATGATTTTTGACTTGTAGAAGATTACAGTAGCAGAGTGCATCGAGACCCAAAGCAAAGCCATGACAATGCTCACCATTGAACAACTGTCCTACCTGCTCAAGTTTGCCATTCAGAAAATGAAGCAGCCCGGGGTAAGGAGAAAGCTCCTGCTGGTGCAAGCATAAAGCAGACGCTACCCTTCCTTCTGTTCTCTTAGCATCTCACATGGTCTGTGGAAGCCTGGCTTCTCGGGCAAGCTCCGCACACTCTTTGGACCTGCCTGGATATTCACACTCATTCAGAAACGTAAATGCCATGGTATTCTGTTGATTGATTCTCAGCAGTGAGTACATTGTGTGCCTATGGAGGTGGGGACTTCAATTTCTGGTGGGCTAGGAAATGAGACTTCATTTCCTGTTGGCCCAGGAAGAATTTTCTGCTCTTTTCCTGGCATTTGTGAAATTCTCCTCCCATGAGAAACGAGTGTCACCCAGTCTATTTATAAGCCAAGGCCCCATGATGCAACCTTCTAGTAAACTGCCACGGGGACATTTCCACCAAGGGTAGGCTCTGGATGGCCCATTCTTTCAGTCTGGAGATGGGATGTGGAGGGTAGTTTTGGGACCTTTTGGGAAGACTGATGGCTGGGCAACACCTTTCAGCCGTCAAGGTGCACAGTGTAGTGTGCTGGCTGGAGCATCTATCCATCCCTCACTGATCTGGCTGATACTGGGGCTTGAACGCAGGCCTTTGTGTTCTCCCTTGGTCAGTTTCTCAAAGTTGACACTTTCCACCACGTAAGCCACGCTTCCATTTCCAGCTTTTTGCTAGTTAGTTGGAGAAGAGAGTCTCTCACAGACTTGCCTGCCCAAGCTGGCGATAAACTTTGATCCTCAGATCTCAGCCTCTTGAGTAGCTATAGGATTACACAGGTGAGCTACTGGCACCTAGCCTGAAGTATGCTTTTAGTATACAGCAAATTGACTTTCATTCTGGATAAAAGAAGGCTTATGTGCAGATGCTAGCCTGCTAGAAGCCTTGCTGGTGTAGAAGCTTAGTATTTCATTAAATCCTCTAGATCACTTGAACTGATAAGTAAGTACCACAAATCTACAATGAACCAGGCTGGTTCCTTGAGTTGATTCAAGTAGGGCTTAAGCAAATGGATCAGGATAAAAATCTTATCTGTTGACATTGATGACTGTGTGCTGTGGTATCCCTCGTTATAGCTGGATTTCATCCTCAGTTTTGCTCCTGGGCGTGTGCAGGGGTGTCCACTATTCTTCAAGGTCCCTGTCTAATGTATTGATAGATCATGTGTCAGCCAGGGACAAGAACAGAACCTGTAAGTTGGATCTATGCCCAACACAAAGCAAATGACAAAACCAAAACAAGTTCAGCTGGGCCTGGGATGATTTTCAGGACAATGCAGGTTTCGAGGATGGACCCATTTGGAGCTTTCCAAGGTCCTCTATGATGGCTGTCTTTGTGCTGTATTCTGAACCATCTTTCAGAACCCCTGGTTGTGCGCAGTTCTGGGCCTTCCATAGCAGTGAAGGGACCACGCCTGTGTGTCTTCTCTCTTGCAGACAGATGCGTTCCAGAAGCCTGTGCCGCTGGAGCAGCATCCTGACTATGCTGAATACATTTTCCACCCCATGGATCTTTGCACATTGGAAAAGGTTGGCCTCCATCAAAGAGCCTGGCTGCTGAGCCCAGGGCTCAGAGACCTCCCTCCCTTCCCATCCCCGCTTCAAGTTAGAGTGCTTACCTGCATGGACCTGTGCGGTTTTGAGTTCACCACCTGCCACTTCTTCCACAGACCCCTGTGTGACCCTTGTTACCCGAATGAGTCATGGAAGCTTCTTAGGGATTTGATGATTGATTGCAGCTCCCTCCTCCTCCCCTGAGATCTTTCTTCCCAAGTGCTAATGAGAGCAGCAGGAAGGAAGAAGAGAAAATCAAGTGTCTGGGAAACTTTCAGATTAGCAGTAAAGATGTAGCTTCTTAGAACAGACGTATTGCCTGAGAAGGCTATTTCTGTAATGCCTAAGGATATTTTTCAAAGTTCACATGAAAAATCCATACTGAAAATTAACATGTGCGATACCCACAGTCAGGTTCCCAGGGGTGGCTCCCTGTTGAGTTGGGAATGGAAAGCATGCATGCAGTGCTTGCTGAGCACAGGTGCTCATGCCTGTAATCCTAACCACTCAGGAGGCTGAGATTGGAGGATTGTGGTTTGAGGCCAGCTTGGGCAGGGAGAGTTCATGAGACTCTTATCTCCAGTGAACCATCTCAAAGTTGAAAGTAGAGGAATAGCTCAAACGGTAGAGCACCAGCTTTGAGCAAAAAAGCTAAGGGATAGTGCGCAGACCTTGAGTTCAAGCCCTAGTACCAGCAAAGCATGCGTTCACAAGAACCAAATGGTAAATTCTAATCTGATTGGGGAATTGCACATGGTTGTGTGTAATCAAAAAAGACAGGGATGTAAGCCTAGCTTCAGGTTTCACAGTACTGTGCCTGTTTTCCTCTTGCATAAAGCAGAGCAATAAAGTGGAGACAATATATCAAATACCCCATGGAGTACGGAGAGCACGGGACCTGGCCATCAATGTTGAAGTGCATTTGTATAGGGCTCCAGCTCTCAGAAACCTTGAGTATCATGGATGAGCCTGGTGGATGACTACTGAGCAATGGGGGATGGGGGGCCATGGATTCTACCTCGGGGGGGGTTGGTACTGGCAATGACGCTTATGGTTTGTCTTCCCAGAATGCGAAGAAGAAAATGTACGGCTGCACCGAGGCCTTTCTGGCTGACGCCAAGTGGATTTTACACAACTGCATCATTTATAATGGCGGTGAGTGGCTGAGAGGCTCCACAGGCAGGGAGCGTTCTGGGTGTGCCCTCCCGCCTTGAACATCAAGCCAGAGCCAGCTCCCGGGAATAGCTGCGTCGTTGGCCTTTGAGCAGAGATCTCCAGGGCCTCTAAGCTGTGCGGTACTGCTGCTCTTACTTTGGTATCGATTGCTTGAATGTGTTTGGAGTTAAGTGCTCTTGTCACTAAGGTTTGTTTCTAGCCCTAAAAACATTGAAGGACAAATGTGTATTGACAGCCCCCAAAGACAGCCTAACTTGGTCAGTTTCTACCTGACCCCTAACAGATAACTGGGTTCTAGAAACCAGCTGTTCTGCCTTCTGTGATCTTGGAATCTCCTATACACTGAGTCACAGACATTATATTTTTTCTTGTCCATTGCTTTGCCACACAAATACTACCAGGATTCAACTGGATGTTGTGTGCGCATTTGTCCATCTGCTGAGTGGTTTTCCTTTTCATCCGTGTCCCACAGTGGATGTGTTCACCCAGTTGATGGTGGCAGGTGTTGAGGTCACTTTTACCTTTGGGCTGTTAGGAGAAAAGCTGGGGGGGGGGCGGTGGCAACAGTTGGAGACTCCAGACCCCTGCTTTCCTGGGAATGGTGCTGGCTCACTGCACAGGTTGATGCTCAGCTTCATAAAATGGTTTGCCTAACTTGTCCTTGCGAGTGGCTGCACTGTTTCACAGCTTCCTAACTGGACGAGGCTTCTGGTTGTTTCACAGTCTTGCTTATACTTGGGCTTTCTGTCTTTCTGATTTTGGCCATTTTGGAAGATGCGGTTTACTAGGTGTAATTTGCCTTTTTTTCCCCCCTTCAATTATTTTGATACTGGGTATCTATTTGTGTACCTTAGTAATTTAATTTTTGCGAGAAGTGAAATTCAGCCTTTTGCTCATTTCCAAAAACTGAGTATTTATGCTTTTTTACTCTTCAATTGCAAGAGCTCTTTCTACTCAGGGTCATTCTCTCTTTCCTGGACTTGGAGGATTAGGTAGCTCTTTCTGGCCAGCATGGAGGAGAATTTTCACTCAAACCATCCTCCTTGGCCTCTCCTGTCTCTCCCCTCCATCCTCCCCCCCCTCCCCTCACCCTCCGCCCCTTCACCCCCAGCCTTCCCTGTCTTCCTTCTGGCTGGCCAGATCTTTCAGTGTCCTTCCACCCTGGTTCTAGTGTTCTCTGCCTGGAAGTTCTGTGCCCCCTTGGCCTGGATGGCTTCTCCTTGTCCTTCAGTCCTTGAGAGCCTTGTCTGCCAGCCCAGGCCTGGCCGGGAGATCTCATGAGGGACCCTCACCCTGCCTCTGCTCACTCGGGGCACTCGTCACTCTCAGTGGGTACTGGGCTCTTCCAAGGGCTGGCATCTGTCTTCCCTGTACAGATGGGCTTAGGAAAGGCTTTGTGAATGGCTGAGAGTCTGCTTTAAGCACACACACTGCGTTAACCCTTCTGAGGCCAGAGGGAAAGAGGGAGCCACTGGACATTGAGAATTTGTGTGGACAAGATAAGTCCACAGTGGTCAAGTCCTGCCATCAGTTGTTTTCTGGGAAGCCTCAAATTTTAGGCTGTATATATGTTGGGGCGGTGGGGGGAGAGGACGAGGAGCGGAAGAGAGAGGGTGGATGGCTTTTCCACTGTCTTTGGAGAGTCGGACTCAGAACCCATGCTCACCTGCATGGCTGCATGTTGTCATGGAGACAGCGCTGCTGATGTTGGCTCAGTCCTCAGCGAGCTCTGCCTTCCTGGTGTCATCACCAGCACCAGGCAGGAATGGCCGAGCTGCTCTGTGACATCCCTTCCTTCTGGGCTTACAGCCGGGCTGTGCTTCTCTCTGTTAAAGAGAGCCTGTAGATTATCATGGCAGTTCTCCAGTAGAAGTCTGAGCTGGGTGCCCGTGGCTCAAGCCTGTAATCCTAGCTAAGCAGGAGGCTGAGATATGAGGATCACGATTTAAAGCCAGTCTGGGCAGGAAAGTCTGTGAGATTCTTACCTTCAATTAAAAAAAAAAAAAGCCAGAAGTAGTGTTGTGGCTCAAGTGGTAGGGAGTTCACCTTAGCAAAAGGAGCTCAGGGACCGTGTCCCAGGCCCAGAGCTCAAGCCCCAGGACTGGCAAAAAGAAAATCCCTGGCCTGCAGGAGGAGCTGTCTGCATCAGAGCTTCATCAGTTTTGATGGGTGAAATCAATCACTTGAACCCATGTGAGAAGGCAGAAACTTCTAGATTTTAGCCTTTTAAACTGACTCCTGGGGAAAACAAGTTACAAAGGGCATTAGTGGATGTATTGACCCAAGTTAGAGTGTCATCTGTCTCTATTAGATTATCCTGTTTTCTTTTTTTTGTTCCGATAGATATTATTAGTTCTGTTTTCTCATTCTCTTAGGAAATCACAAGTTGACGCAAATAGCGAAAGTCGTCATCAAAATCTGTGAGCACGAGGTACGTATGCTGTCCTGGGGCACAGGGGGGGTTGGGCCATCTCCTGGTCTGCTGAGGCATAAACAGCGCCCCGTGTGGCAGCAGCGCAGACAGCAGGCCGGGCACCCTATGGTGAAGGCTTTTGTTGCTTGACCAGATAGTAGACATTTCTGCCATTGGCCCTGTGCTTGGTGGCCTGGAGACAGGGACCCTTGGGTCCCCTTCCAGAGGCAGCTGGGTGGTCATGAGTGGGGAATGGAGAAGTGCTGGCTCAGAAGGGCCTGCCACTGTTTCACAGCTTCACACACAGATCAAGCTGCCTGCAGGCCCATGGCCCTGGGCATGGCTCTTCCTCCAGGAGGCGTCCTGTCTTAAGAAGGGAAAGGACACTCGTATGGGGTTGAATTTTGAGTGTCACTAGTGGAAATGATGCAGGACAGTGGGTTATGCGGTAATGACTCTGTACTCTGGAACTCTGTCCTCAGGGAGGTGGGCATGGGCCAGCTTGGTGGCCTGGAAGGAGGCTGCCAAGTGTTAGGTTTCCTTGGTCATGTCTCAGTGTAGCCCTATGGGTATTTGGGGAAGAAGTGTTCACTGTTGTGTGGACTGCGAGGTTGTGGGCCTGGTGGCTCAGCTGTCACTTTGGTCTGGAAGGCCATGGTGACATAGATCAAGTGATAGACTGGTCACCATGGTGGCTGCTTCTCCACTGTATTCTTGCTGGGTTTCAGTTCTTCTTACCCTTCAAAACCAACAAACAAGCCCAGCGTGGTGGTCCACACCTGACATCCCAGCAGGCTGGAGTGTCACAAGTTCTCGGCTAACCTGAGCAACATAGAAAGAACCAGTCTCTAAAAATAGAGCAAAAGAAAACCAAATCAAAGCCTGAACGCTTGAAAACATTATCAAACATTTATTCAGGGAAGCCAGATGTGAGGCCTTCCCAGCAATTCCATCTAATACCCTTTTGCTTTCCAGATGAATGAAATCGAAGTATGTCCAGAATGTTACCTAGCAGCTTGCCAGAAACGAGACAACTGGTTTTGTGAGCCTTGTGTGAGTGGATTCCCCTTTCCTTTTTCATTTGTAAGCCTTCTGTGCCTTGTGTGGTCCCCAAGACAGCCCTCTCCAGGGCCTGGGAGGTGAGAATGTGGATGAATCCTGCAGGTGAAGACAGGTGGCTAGGTAGAGTCCTGGCAGGACAGACTTTATGATCGGAAGGATGTGGTGCCCGGGCTGGCTGCAGGTGGGCATCAGAGTACCCCGTAGGAGAGACATGAGGCTGAAGAACATGACCAGAGCCCCATGAGTGTCACCTGCCAGTCATGGTGGGGCGGGTGTGTGTGTGTGTGTGTGTGTGCCTGTGTCTGTGTCTGTTTCTGTATGTGGGCTTGGAAATGCTTTCCTAGTGGAATGTTTCAGTCACTCCATTGTGGTTCTCAGGGTAGAATGTTGTCCTCATTGGGCATTGATTTCAGGGCTTGCTGTTTTATGGACAGAGGTACACTGTGTGTGTGTGTGTGTGTATACACGTGCACTTACATGTGTGTGCATGCACACATGTGCATAAGGTGGTGAGGATGCAGGTTTGGAGACAGCAAGACTGGGTGAGTAAGGTGAGAAACACAACATCCTGTAGGCCTCTCTGCCTTTGGGGGAGAAGCGTCTGAGGAGCTGAGCCCAGGTGGAGGCCCGGAGTGAGCCTGCGGAGTTGCCGTTACCCCTTCTATGCTTGTTCCAATGCATTTGCTCCAAACACTCCAGAGAGTGTTGCATAGAAAGGCAAATTCTCATGCTCATGGTTAACCCTGATAACAGCAGAGCCAGGACTCAACCTGGTTTTGCACTGGCTTGCTCAGCTAGCTTTGCTTCCATGGTGTTCTTCCAGTTGAGCCATGCTTCCAGCCCAGCTTTTTTGCTGGTTATTTTGGAGTTGAAGTCATACCAACTTTACTGCGTGGGCTGGTTTTTGAACCTCTGTCCTCAGATCTTGGCCTTCTAAGTAGCTAGGATTACAGGTGTGAGCTACCTTGCTCAACGTAGTTTTGTGGATTTTTCTGTGGATTCTTCTCAATCTTCTCTTTGAAGCCCCTCCCCAGCTGCCGCCTCCTAGGAGGTAGCTCTCGGGCTAGCCCTGCTTAGGGACCCATGTCTGGGGTACTAAAGGCTTGTACCACTTCCCACTTGCCTGCAACAACCTCTCATAGCAAACTGCAGTGTGGATCTTGGCACCAAATATATAAAACTCGCCATCTTGTTTTTCTTCTTCTAGAGTAATCCACACCCATTGGTGTGGGCAAAGCTGAAGGGGTTTCCATTCTGGCCCGCAAAAGCTCTGCGAGATAAAGATGGACAGGTGGACGCTCGTTTCTTTGGACAGCATGACAGGTGAGTGTTACATCAGGCTTTGAACTTTCTCAAACCTTCGGTTGAATCATTGGGTGAGAAGTATAGCTATTATTAGTCTCATCTTTTTGTGTGTGCACGCGCATCCATGCACCTGCACACTTGATGGTGTTAGGATTTGAACTCAGGGTTTATTTGCTCATGCCTCTCTAGTCTGGCAATTTGCCAACGAGAGTCTGTTTATTTAATTGATTGATTGATTTTTTTTGTCGGTTGTGGGGCTAACTCTGGGCCTGGGCACTGTCCCTCAGCTCTTCAGCTCAAGGTGAGTGCTCTACCACTTGAGCCACAGCGCCATTTCTGGTTTTCTGAGCGGTTTATTGGAGATAAGAGTCTCAGGGACTTCCCTGCCCAGGCTGGCTTTGAACTGTGATCCTCAGATCTCAGCCTCCTGAGTAGATTAGGATGACAGGCGTGAACCACCGGCACCCAGTAAGAGTCTGTTTAATTGGAAATGGAGTCTGGCTTTGAACTAACATCCTCAGATCTTAGCCACCGAGCGGCTAGGATGACAAGCGTGAGCCACTGATACCAGGCTCATTGTTACCATTTCCCCCAAGCCAATTCTTGTATTGGTAGCTGATGTGGTTATTGTTTTGTTTACTGTTGCGATATACCAACCGTGAATTGTGTAGTTGTAAAATATTTTCCTGTGCTGTGTTAAGTCCAATGTGCAGGCTTTAATTTCTTCAGGTATGTTAGAAAATAATCTTTCTGTAATGGCTGTGTTGATGGAAGCCAGCATGGGAATGAGTTCTGTGGCTATTTTAAGTGCTGCTAGGCAAATATACATATACATATACATATATATACATTTTTTTCTTTTCCTGGAGTAAATTAAACCTGAGCAAATTGCCTTTCAAAATAATGCTTTCAGGGATCGGAAGTATTTTCCCAGCCTGCCAATAAATGAATCTCTTGCCATTATGCAAAACAGTTTCCTCCTGTTCCCTTTTCTCTGTAGCAAAAATGGGAAATTATAAGGAGATCCTGTTTTGACAGGCATAAGCCCCCCCCTCCCGCCTTCTGCCCTCCCCTCTCCTCCAGCTAACAGCAGCGAACAGAGCCCCTGTGTGCCTACAGACTGATGCAGCTCCCCTGCTTCCCTCTAAGCAAGTTCTGTTTAATTAGATGAGGCACGACTCTTTCAAAGCCTCTCCCCCCTCCCCTCCAAGCAGTTAGAGTACAAAAGTGCCAGAGGGGACTATTTAAATACATAAGAAAGTAAAATTATATACTCACCCAGAATAAACAGGAAATACGGTTTACATTTTAAAAGTAAAACATCTGAAATAGCACTTGGTTAGATTTTGCTTGAGATTTTCCAGACCAAAGAAGAAAATTCTGAGCCTAGGGCTGGCAGCTCAACGCCTGTGAACTCAGGAGGCTGAGGTTGAGATCTGAGGATTGAGGTTCAAAACCAGGCCGAGCAGGAAAGTCCGTGAAGACTCTTAGCTCTAAGCAGTTTTTTTCTTTTAAAGCAGAAGTTGGAGGTATGGTTCAAGTGGCAGAGTGCCAACTTTGAGTGAAAAAGCTTAGGGTCCTGAGTTCAAGCCCTAGTACTAGCACAAATAAACTACTCATTTGGTTCCTGCTCAGCCTGAGGCCTTACCAGGGCTGTGATTGGTGAGAAGGCTGCAGATGGACTTGCTCTGTTCCCTCAGGATGTGTAGCTGGGCTGGCTGGGCGCAGACTCTGGGTAGAGTGAGGTGAGGCACGCTGGGAGCCCTGTACCTGGGCTCTCCTGGCTGCGATGGGAGAAGATGGAACTAAAGGATGTATAGCTCTTTGTTGTTGTTGTTGTGTGTGTATGTGTACGTGTGTGTATGTGTGGGGGGAGACCTGGTACTAGAGCTTCAACTCCAGTCAGGTCCAAGTGCTGTCCCTGAACTTTTTCATTCAATGTTGGTGCTCTACCACTTGAGCCACACCTCCACTTCTGGCTTCTTGGTGGATAATTGGAGATAAGTCTCACAGACTTTCCTGCCCTGGGGCTAGCTTCACACTGCAATCCTCAGATCTAAGCCTCTTAAGTAGCTAAGATTATGGGTATGAGCCACTAGTGTCCAGTGGTGATGATTCTGGCCCCAGTCCTGGGGCTTGAACACTCAGCCTGGTTGCTATCCCTGAGCTTCTTTTGCTCAAGGCTAGTGCTCTACCACTTGAGCCACAGCACCACTTCCAGCTTTTTTCTCCCTGTTTGTATGGTACTGATGAATTGAACCCAGGACTTCATGCATGCTAGGCAAACACAATACCACTAAGCCACATTCCCAGTCCCACAGATTCTTATTCTTTAGGGTAGTACTGTGTGGATTCCTGCCACTAGCTACTAAGGAGCCTGAGATCTGAGGATTGCAGTTCAAACCTAGCCAGGGCAGGAAAGGGCCGGAGACTTTTGTCTCCAATCAGCCAGCAGAAAGTTTGGTGGTAGAGCTGTGCTGGAGTACTAGGGCTGACCTGTCTCCCTGTGCTGACCACCTGCAGGCTTCTCCTTCTTTCCTGCTCTCAAATGATACAAAGGCTGGGACACAAACCATGCTGAAACTGCTTTCAGAGGTCATTCCCCAAACACAACTGTAGCTCAGTATGGTGATACCTGCCTGTAATCCAAGAAAGGATTAGGAGTGCCAGGCCGTCTGGAGCAAAGGGAGCTTGAGATTCTGTTTCATAATCAAAATGAAGACACCGCAGTAGAGATATAGCTGAAGTGGTATAGAGTTTGCTTAGCTTGAGGAACCCTGACTGAGTTCAACCCCAGTACTACAAAACACAAATTAGAACCAAGCCAAACACTTGGCAGTTTAGTCCTCGGTTGTGGCCAGGAGCTAGAGGAAGCCAGACCTTTCCTCTTCCTTTGTGAGTTCCTCTTAGGATCTGTAGAGTTGTCTGTTTTCTTAAGGGTGTGCCCTGTTCGGTTCATTGGGGTGCAAGGGTCCATTGCAAAGGCTGGTGAGAGTAGGCCACAGTGATGCAGTATCTGCACCTGCAGGACAGATGTGTCTATGATTGGTGGCTGGGTGAGGAGGTGGAGGCTGTGGGTGAGCCAGTATGCGCCTGAGTCCAGCCTCCCGAGAGGCGGAGTCTGTGGGTGAGCCAGTGTGCCGCTGGTGCGCATGACAAGCTGACCTCGCATTAGACAGCCTCTCTCCTAAACCCCAGGAGCCAGTGCCTGGGTCACGGCCCTGCCCCTTTCTGAGGGGTGGAGCTTACGTTAGCTGACCAGGTCAAGGCAGAAATCCACAGGCAAGGCCGGTCACCCCTAGAGTGTGCCTGAGCAGGCATGTTCTGAATGGTCTTTTGTTGTCTTTTAAAAGAAATGGCTTGCTTCTTTTTTTCTTTTCTGTTTTATTTGGACACCTAGCACACAGTTACGTAAAAATACACTTCCTGTAGAATAGTCATTGTATGCTTGGAGAACTTGATGAACAAATCTGACATTGCTTCCAGCATGCACTGTGTAGAGACTGCCTTTATTTTCCTGGTACAAAAATTTTAATATTCCTATTCATGTAAGCATGGTATTTTCTTTAGGGTGGGAGACAGATAAATGATGGGAAAAAGAGATTGCTTTGTAAGTTTGGTGCGGGTCCTGAGGCTTCCACTCAAGGCCTGGGTTGTGCAAGACTAGTGCTCTACCACTTGAGACACACTCCCGCTCCTGGCCTTGCTGGTGGTTAAGCGCAGATAAGAGTCTCATAGACTTTCCTGCCTGGGCTGGCTTTGAACCATGATTCTGAGATCTCAGAGTAGCTAGGGTGACAGGTGTGAGCCTCCCGCTCCCAGCTAGGGGCTTTTTGTCTTGATATTCAAAGAAAACTGAAGTCTGGAGAGGGTAATGCCTTGCTCAGGGTCACTTATCTGGCCGTGGTGGAGCAAGGCAGGTTGGAACTGCAGTGGGCTGCTTCTGGGTGTATGATACAGTAAGGCAAGTCCGATTTCCCATTAAGTATTTCCTGGGCTTGCTCTTCCTGTCAAGGCTCCACTCAAGATACTTCAGAACCTGGGAGGAAGTAAGTACGCTTTGAAGCCAATAGAGCCTGAGCGAACCTGGGTAACAGGACTGACTGGCCTCTGGCTGGGAAGCTGGTGTCTGGACTGGCCACAGGCCCATGTCCTTTTGTTTTCTCCACTCGCTGAAGGCATCACTGCCTGGCACAGCCCCGGGGTCACTGGCTGCCTCTCTGAGTCATTTGACTCTGGCTCAGCCTCCTTTCTCACCTAGAGGAGTAGGGGAGGCTGGATGTCCAGGTCTTTAGGTCTTGGCAGATAGGTGGCTCTGGGGTGCATGAGAAATCGCTGATTTCGGGGACTCTCGAGAACGGCTAGATGTTTCTGTGGTGTTCAGGTGCAGTTGGCCATTCTCCACGCTGACTTCCGCCCTGGGGTCAGGTCTCATTTCTTATGGAAATCAGGAATTCAGTGGCAACCATTGAAGAGGGAAGAAGCCTGCTGTCTGTTTCTCTTGAGAATGTGGGCAGCCGGGCAGGGTTGGGTCCAGATCCCCACCTGACCACCCTGGATAGCAGCTGACTAGCCTCCAGTTCCCTTTGATCTCTACCCTGTGTGCTCCCTCCCCTTCCCCCCATTTTTCTCTCCCTACTGGCTTCCATTGTGCCCCCTCAAACCCAAAGGCCCCTGGGAAAACCATGTTCCCAGCAGATTCTAGCTGCAAACCAGGGTCAGGCTGGTGAACCGGAAGTGTTGGCACCGTTAGGTGTTGGTGTCTCCTATTGGCGCTGCCTCTGTGGTGGTCCCCACCCCTCCCATAGTCACGCTGGCTTCTGATTCTCGAAAAGCAGCTGCTGGCTTTCTGTTCTCTAGTCTGTGCCAAACCTAATGGGAAGAGGGTGCTGACAGGGGGAAGAGCGAATTTGATGGGTCTGATGCTCCCCAAAACTAAATGATGGATGATCCCACATTCAAAGAGCTGGCGTTGTGTGGGTTCAAGCAGTAGAGCACCTGTCTAGAAGCACGAAGCGCTGAGTTCAAGCCAAAACAAAAGAAACCCTGTTGGGTGTGGTGGTGCGGGCCTGTCACCCCAGCACTCCTGCTGAGGCTGGAGGGTGGAGAGTGAGGTCAGCCTGGGCCTTATCACAAAACAAATCAGACCAAAGCACGACACAAAACAAACTCTCCTATTAGAAGTAGAGCTGTGCAGTTTCCTTTTGGTCCTGTTTCAGTGAGCAGAGAACTCTGTCAGTGTGTCCTTTCATGAGTTCTGGGGGTAGTTCTGTCCTTGGGGTATAGTGGAGGGTACAGATCAGGGACTCTTATTCTCTTCTGGCTGACAGTCAAAGGGATTTTTGTGTTCTCCCTGGATTAACATAACCAGGCCTGTAGCGCCTTTCACATCTTCTCAGGGTTCTGACGCTCATGCTATTTCTTTATGGCAGAACACATTTGTTAAGTGGGTTATATATAATTAATCATCCAAACCAAGTCATTTATTTAAAAAGAATCTGTGTTGAAGAATCTTAGCAGACATGCTAGGCTAATTTGGGTTGCATTAAGGAGGGGGCGGGGATGAAGCTGGGCACCAGTGGCTCATACCTGTATTCCCATCTACTCAAGAGACTGAGATCTGAGGATCATGGTTAAAGCCAGCCTCAGCAGGAAAGTCCATGTAGAAGTTCAGGTAGAAGTGGAACGATAGGTCAACTGGTAGAACACCCGTCTTGAGTGGAAAAGCTAAGGGAGAATGAGAGGTCCTGAGCTCAAGCCCCAGTGTACACACACACACACACACACACACACCCTTAGAAACAAAACTTGACGTGACTCTTTTGCTCCTCTAGGGCCTGGGTTCCAATAAATAATTGCTACCTCATGTCTAAAGAAATTCCTTTTTCTGTGAAGAAGACTAAAAGTATCTTCAACAGCGCCATGCAGGAGATGGAAGTTTACGTGGACAATATCCGCCGGAAGTTTGGCGTCTTTAATTACTCTCCGTTTAGGACACCCTACACGCCCAACAGCCAGTACCAAATGCTGCTGGACCCCAGCAACCCCAGCGCCGGCACGGCCAAGCTTGACAAGCAGGAGAAGGTCAAGCTCAACTTCGACATGACAGCCTCGCCCAAGATCCTGATGGGCAAGGCCATGCTGAGCGGGGCCCCCGGCCGCCGCATCTCCCTGTCGGACATGCCCAGGTCCCCCATGAGCACCAACTCCTCTGTGCACACGGGCTCCGACGTGGAGCCGGACGCTGAGAAGAAGGCCACGTCCAGCCACTTCAGTGCCAGCGAGGAGTCCATGGACTTCCTAGACAAGAGCACAGGTCAGGCCCAGGCGGGGCGGGGCAGAGGCTGTGCTAGACCCACCTGGCTGCCCTTGGTGCCACACCTGTGGGGTCTGAGCTGGTGGGTGTTAATAGATGTGCTGAGTTAGAGCTGGAGGTCCCCAGATGTTCATCTCGAGTTCCAGTCTTTCCCACTCACTCTCCATGTGGCTTTGGGCAGGAGCCTGGCATCTTTCTGGAACGAGGTGATGGTTACAGGCTCTGAAGGTGTTTTTTGTTGTTGTTTGTTTTTGTTTTCATTTGGTTTTGTTTTGAGGCAAGGTCTTTCTATGTGGCCAGCGCTGGCCTTGAACTTGCATGCAGAAGCATTTCATTAATTTTTTTTATTAGATTTATTTTCATTTGATTTAATTTTGTTCTCATGCCAGAACTGAAGCTTTGAACTCAGGACCTTGAGCTCTCCCTTGGCTTTTTTTTTTCCTTTCAAGGTTGCGTTCTACCACTTATGCCACACTTCCCCCTCATGCTTTTTGCTGGTTCATTGGAGATAAAGAGTCTTTGATTTGTTGGTCCAGGCTGGCTTCAAATCAGGATCCTCAGATCTGAGCCTCCTGAGCAGCTAGGATTATGGATGGGAGGTACACTAGAGACCCAGCTGAGAATTGTTTTATTCTTAACAAATTGCTCTGTTTAAGCACTGTGGGCCTTCCGGGTCTTTCTTACAATGATCCACAACAGCTGCCTGGGTTCCACTACAGCTTAGCTGGTAGACACTGAAATTTGCAGATTCACGGGTGTTCCACGTTTGGTGACCCATTATTCTTTTGGATTCTCTCCCCGGCCCCCCAACTCCAAGGTGCTGCCCACTTTTGTTAGCTTGTAGGTCAGTGGTGGCCAGCCTCTATTAGAGCCCCGTGCCCGGAGGAGCTGAGTGAATCTCAAGGCCTCTGTGTGAGGGAGGAGCCCAAGCCCAGCCCCATCCTGGATCCTGGCCCTCTTCTTTCCCCTGCACCCTGCTGCCCTCTAGTGGTTGCGGTGGTGCTTAGCACTTAATAGGAGAAGCAGGGATGTCCTTAAATCCCACGATCCACCAAGACCCGGGAGTCAAGGAGGTGAGATCATCATGTCTCAGATCAGGAGGACCCCAGATGTATCTTCCCACCATGGAACTTTTAAGGGCAGCAACATGAACTACACACAGAAATTAGTTGTTCTGTAAAAAGCAGGCTTAGAACTTTTCCTTCAGGTGATCACGCAGCTCAGGCTCACATCTGTCCTCTGAAGAATGGCATTTAGCTTCTGAGAAGTTCCTTGCTCTCAGCATGTGCTCCAGCAGCCCTACTGCAATCTTCCATGGCCCAAGTGGATTATGTTCTGCTTTCCCCTAAGTGGAGCTCCGGGCTGGAACCGATGCCTTGCCCACCGGTACTGGTTTTCAAGATACCCAAAGAGTCATTAGAACTTCCCTGGGCCTGGTCTTTGGCCCCCTCTGAGCGAATGGCCCTTTGGCCTCAGAGCTCCACGGTGGAGTATCTGTGAGACAGCAAGGGAAGACTTTCTTCTTCTTCTTCTGTTTGATGTTGGGAAAGAGCTGCAGAGAGGCTCTTGTCACACTGTGCACGGCTGCTGCCTGAGTTGGCGTTCCTTGAGCTTTTCTTGTGGTGAGCTCTTGCTAAGTGGGAAAGTGGGTTCAGTATTGCTAGGTAGTACTGGTTTTTCAAGGAACCCTCAGATACCCCACCTTATACATAGTGACTCTTCAGAACTATGAATAACAACTCTTTTCTTTCCTTTTCCTTTTTTTTTTTTTGTCAGTCATAGGGCTTGAACTCTGGGCCTGGGCACTGTCCCCGAGCTCTTCAGCTCAAGGTTAGTTCTCTACCACTTTGAGCCACAGGGCTATTTCTGGTTTTCTGGTGGTTAAGTGGAGATAAGAGTCTAACAGATTTTCCTGGGAGCTGGCTTTGAACCATGATCCTCAGATCTCAGCCTCCTGAGTGGCTAGGATTACAGGTGTGAGTCACCAGTGCCCGGCCCTTTTCCTTTTCTGTTCCATGCTGGTTGAGGGGCTTGACCTCAGGGCTTGGGTTCTGTCCTGAGCTCTTCCACACAAGGCTAACACTCAACCAATTTGAGGCACAGCTCCACTGGCGGCTTTTTTTGAGTGGTTTATGGAGATAAGAGTCTCATGGAGTTTCCCAGCTGCTTTTTTTGTTTTAAATTTTGAGCTTAAGCTTCTTTCTTTAATTTGAGACTGGGTCTCACTGTGTTGCCCAGGCCTAGCCTTGAACCACTTGAGTTCAAGGGATCCACCTGTCTCAGCCTCTCGAAGGGCTGGGATTGTGCCTGGCGGCGCATGCCTGTTTTCTGAGTAGGTTTCCATGTTAAAACCCTGCAAGTCAGCATTTCTAGCAGTGTCTTTAGTCTATCCTCAGGTATCTGCAACGTGGTAGTGTGCAACATGGTTCAGCTACACCTCACACAATCTGCCAGCCCTTCAAATGCAGGGTTAGCATTGTTTTGTTTTGGTGTTAGTATTGGGGCTCAAACTCAGGGCTAGCTGTTTTGCTCAAGGCTAGTATTCTACCACTTGAGCCACAGCTCCATTTCTGAATTAGTCTCACAGGCCTTCCTGCCCAGGCTAGCTCTGAACTGTGGTCCTCAGATCTCAACTTCCTGAGTAGCTGGGATTACAGGTGTGCATACCAGTTCCTGGTTCTGTGCAGGCTGTGTGTGAGGTTATTGTGAATCGTTCCCCCTGTCCGGCCTGCAGAGGCTGCAGGAGGATTCTGTTCTCTCACGGAACCCAGTCTTGCGTGTCTGGTGTTCAGCCCTGCAGTGAGCGCAGGCTGAGATTTTTGTAACTGCAGAAAATAAATGGTGCGATTTAGCTCACACTTCGAATCGTACATCAGAGTGTAAAATCTTGATTAAATTATTTGACTTCAAAGGCCATTAGAGCTTCCTCTGGGTGATATTTATGGCTTTTTGAAAGGATTGGCATGCGTTTCAAAGTTTAATTGAAACAAGCATTTCCAGTGTTGCTTTTGCAGATGCCTAAAATGGTCTACAGAAGTCGTTGTCAAGCTTAGCCCCCGACATGCAGGCTGGGTAGCTCCGCCTTGGGGTCCCCCTGGGCAAGGTGGGATGCAGAACAGCTTCTCCGGCCTTTACCCACTCCACACCAACAGCAGGCCAACACACACACAGTTGTGTCGGGGACAACATCCCCCTAGGTTGCCTGCTTTCCCTGCGGGATCCTGCCAACAAAACCACAGTTCATAGCCTTTTTTTTAATATGGTAATTTTCCTTAAGTAGTTGTCCACAGGAGTTGCCATCAACAGAGCAGTTCATGCATACAGTGTCTCTTGATCACTGTGACCCCTTTGAACCATCTCACCCCTCCCTCCCACTTGAATGTTAGCACTGATGATATAATTCTAATTACTGAGCTCTCATCCTTTAAGATTCTTCAGTCTTCACATCTCATTTTGCATCATTGTTTTCTCCCTTAAAATACGGAATATTCACTGGGTGCCAAAGGTTCATGCCGGTCATCCTAGCTACTCAGGAGGCTGAGATCTGAGGATCACAGTTCAAAGTCAGCCCAGGCAGGAAAATCTGTGAGACTCTTATCTCCATTTAACCACCAGAAAACCAGAAATAGCCCTGTGGTAGAGCACTAGCCTTGAGCTGAAGAGCTGAGGGACGGTGCCCAGGCCCAGAGTTCAAGCCCTGACTGACACATACATACACACATACACACAACCCCAGCATATTCAAGAAGAAATGTTCTAGAAGAAACAATACTTTTTATAGGTTGGGTGTGGCTTTGGATCTTTCAGTAGATGCCCAGTGGGATTCTGGGTGCCCTGGCTGTCCCAAGAGGCTTTGTCTCGCTACATTTCCTGCAGCTGTGCAGGGTGGAGAGCGCGCAGGGCGAGGCCCTCCCTCCCTGCTGGCTTTGTTAGTTTGCTTCGGAGCTTACTAGGAGAAGGGCCGCAGTCTTCTGTCCGCCCACCGAGTTCATCCTGTGGGTATTTTTAGCTCCTGAGACTTGGGAATTATTTAAGACACCCTCGTGGGAGAGATTGCTTGGCAGTATGTCTTGCATGATGTCCTGTGTGGGCCTGTTTCGTGTGTCACAAGTATTGTGGGTTGTGTGTGTTCAGGGACAGTGGTTGGAATGGTGATGGGACCGCCCCAGCCCTGCAAAAGGACCCACACAGGGCAGGTTCTGTGCCAGGCTCATTTAGTAGTTTTTAAAGTAGTTAGTGATTCTCTCTCTCTCTGACTCTGTGTCACTGAATGTCTTTGTCTCTCTCTGCTCCTTCTGTCTCTGTTTATCATCCTGGGGCTTGAACTGAGGACTCGGGCACTGCCCATGAGCCTCTCTGTGCTCAAGGCTAGCACTCTACCACTTTGAGCCACAGCACCACTCCAGCTTTTTCTGGGTATGTGGTACTGAGGAATCAAACCCAGAGCTTCATGCATGCTAGGCAAGCACTCTACCACTAAGCCACATTCCCAGCTCCATCTCTTTGAGCATTTGGCTTGTTTATTGAAGATCCGAGTCTCACAGACTTTCCTGCCCAGAGTAGCTTCAAACTGTGATCCTCTGGTCTCAGCTTCCTGAGTAGCTACAATTCTAGGTGTGAGCCCCAGCACCTGGCTCGATTCTTTCTGATGTTAGTTGAGCATGTGCTTGGTACTAGTAGACATGTGCTGACCTGTCCCCCACTCACTCCATACCCGCTGGCCTCGGGCATTCGGGGCCCCAGGACTCTGCATTCCTATGGAATCTTCTCAATGGAGCAGCAGTGGTGGCCCCTGGCTACAGATGACTTTGTCCTGGGGCTTTCCTGAGAATTGAGGGGTATTTACCAGTGTCAACAGTCCCTTCGCAGTGGCAGTCCCTCTCCCCTAGTTGTGGCAACCAAAATCACCTGTGCGCCTTGCCTGTCAGGGCCTGGTAGGGATGGTGCGGGGTGGGGATGGCCTGGCATGTTGGGGCAGGATGGCGCCAGGCTGATGGCCCCTTGCTCCGATGGTGAAACCCATGTTTCCAAGTTAGTGGGGGAGGTAGCCACAAGCTGCAGCGGGCACACGTGGCCAGCTTCTCACTGTGTGGGGCTGGTTCACCGTCCTCACCAGGGCCCCATGGGAAGCCAGTCCATCCACATCCCCTGTCATGTCAGCCTGCCCCTCTTTCCTGATGCCAGCCTGGGAGCTGCGGAGGGCCCAGCCCAGGGGTTCACAGTGCAGCGGGGAATTGAACCCTTTGACTCTTAGTCTGAGCATCCCCATTTGTCAAGTTAGGAAACGGCACCTGGGGGCGGGACGCCTGCACCTCTCCTCCCCTGCCCTGGCTGCGTCCATCAGCCCGATCACCTCAGAATCCCTACGTCCATCCAGCTCAGGCGACCTGGCGGTTCTGTTGTGAGTTAGGCCTTCAGCCCAAGCTAGCTTTATTTAAAAGGGCCCAGAGGTGTACTGAGGGCAACCCAGTACTATGTCCTTGTGAGGGCCACAGGCACAATCCAAGGAGTCCTTAGGAGGCTCCTGAATGTTTGTTTTGATGAAATAAATGCTCTCATTTCCACTCTCCACATCCTTTTCCATGGAAAAGAAAGCTAAGTTTAAGCCCCTGGCATAGGAGACCATTCTGGATGAATGATCAGTGTCTCTCTCTCGCCATCTGCTGGTGAGTCTGGCTTCCTGCAGCCCGTGAGCCTTTGAATTGGAGGCTGGTGGCCAGGGTTCAGGCTTGGCCCTAGCAGATGCCGGCTGTGTGGGGGCAGCCGGTTCTCTTCCCCCACGCAGATGACAGGCCTTTTATGAGCCTGGCTGCCGATCGCCACATCTGGAGTTTGATGTTCCGGTTCAATCACTGTTTATTTTGAGATTTACACCCGAGAATGGGCCAAACCAGCTTCAGTGGCAGCTTAGCTGATTTGTCTTAGAGCTTTGGGTTGAATAGAATAACCAGGGGGCCGACTGCTTGGGGCTTGAGCAGTGTGACGTTGGGAAAGAAACGTTGTTCTGGAATGAAATGGTCAGCCCTTCCTGTCCCACCCGTCCATGAGGCCGTGATGCGTTTGCCTCGGGTACACTTCACATCTGCCCTCCCCTCGGTGCTCAGGGCCACACCTGGCTGGTTTTTTATTGCTTTGTAAAGTTGACTTCTAACAGTCACGCACTTTGTTTTCAGCTTCTCCAACCTCCACGAAGGCGGGCCAAGCAGGGAGCCTGTCCGGGAGCCCGAAACCTTTCTCTCCCCAAGTAGCAGCGTCCGTCACGACAAAGGTGGAGAGGCCGTGCACCACCGGGAGCATCCTGAACCTCAACCTGGGTCAGTGTTTCTGTGGTGCCTGGGGCTGTGTCTGCAGGCTGTGGCGTCCACGCTTTTTTTTTTTTTGTGGTTCTTGAACCTTGAACTCGTTAATCTGCACAGATATCAAACGCGTGTGTAAGTGATGAAGGAGAAGGAGCAGGGCATAGGGATTTCCTGCAGCTCAAAGTCATTTCACTTGGATTTAGCTTAGGGCCGGGTTGGCAAGAGGGCTGCCCTTGATCCCTGGAACCCTGCTCTCCAATGCATCGCAGATGAGTTCTCTCTCTCCCTCTCTCTCTCTCTCTCTCTCTCTCTCTCTCTCTCTCTCTCTCTCTCTCTCTCTCAGTCATGGGGCTTGCAGGGCCTGGGCATAGTCCCTGAGCTTTTTTACTCACTACCACTCTACCACTTTTGAGCCACAGTGCCACTTCAGTTTTCTGGTGACTAACTTGATTAACTGGAGATCAGAGTTTCATGGAGTTTATTGCCTGGGCTGTCTTTGAACCCCAATCCACAGATCTCAGCCTCTTAAGTAGTTAGGATTACAGGCATGAGCCACCGGTGCCCAGCCGACTCATATCTTTTTTTTTTGGTCGGTCATGGGGCTTGAACTCTGGGCCTGGGCGCTGTCCCTCAGCTCTTCAGCTCAAGGCGAGCGCTCTACCACTTGAGCTACAGTGCCACTTCTGGTTTTCTGGTGGTTTATTGGAGATAGGAGTCTCACGGTCTCTCCTGCCCGGGCTGGCTTTGAACCGCGATCCTCAGATCTCAGCCTCCTGAGTAGCTAGGATTACAGGCATGAGCCACCAGCGCCCGGCTCATATCTTTTTTATGCTCAGTTTACTGGGGTATATGGTTTCACTAATTCACTTCTGGTGTGTGTGTGTGTGTGTGTGTCTGTCTGTCTGTCTGTCTGTCTGTCTGTCTGTCTCCTGGGGCTTGAACTCAGGGACTAGGCACTGTCCCTTAGCTTTTCACTTAAGGCTGGTGTTCTACCAGTTGAGCCACAGCTCCACTGGGTAGAGGAGAGGTGGAGGAGGAGGGAGGGATGGGTGGAAGAGGAAGAGGGATGGGTAGAGGAGGGTAGGGTGGAGGAGGGGGGGGTGGAGTCCAGCTCACAGTGTTTGGCTGGGTCCTGTCCTCCCCTCTTCCCTCTCCCCAGGCACCCCATGTGCTCACGCTTCTGCATGATGCGCTGAGCTCTTGGGCTCGTACGTTGGTGGATGCGTTTGGCAGTGGAGGTTTGGGGAAGCTGAAGGTCCCTGTCCTGGCCCCACAAAGGTTCTTGGAGTTCCAGGTCTCCTGCATCATGGGCAGTCTGACCAACGCTTTGGAGCGGTTTTATGGGCTGGGTTTCAATCCCTGACACCCAGAGGATGTCTAGGCACTCGCTGGAGACTGAGCAGATGCTGTACTGTGCCAGCTGCCTTGTTGTCTCCTCTGCTCTAGTGGTGTGGGGCAGTAGATGAGACAGCAGAAGGGGTGAGAATGGATTCAGGAAATCTGCCTCTGCTGCTCAACACTTTCGGTGCAAGCTAGGGGGGGAGGGACTCTGGGGTGTGCTTCTCACCTGGGAACACCTGTCAGCCCCTGGTTTGTATGTGGGACAAATCCTCTGCATAACGCCATCCTCCAGGTGGAATGCATGTGCATCCCCACACGCACGCGTGTGCACATACACACACAGGCTGGAGGTCCCCCTCACGGCTTCCTTCCTTTTCTCATTGGAACCTTGGGCTGGGTCAGCTGAGAACAGAATCCAGGCTCTGTGGATGACAGACAGTCTGTCCTCGTTGTAGACTCTGTGCCTCTGAGGGTTTGGGGGAGCCGTCCCCCCACCTCTGGCTGGCAGGTGTCACTGTGTCTGCTGGTTTGGAGAATGAGCCCCGTGCCATAGCCTTTGGCCGTGGGGAGCCCCTGGTGACGTTGGACCCCGAGGCTGGCATGTCCAGTCAGTCCTCCATCCTCCAGGGCGGGTGATGGATGGGGTGAAACCACCAAACACATTTGCCGTCATCTCCCGTCCCGGCTCTGCCCGGCGGGAAGGTGGGTGCTGTGTGTGGGCCGCGCCCGGCTCCGGCCCTGACTGCGCCCGGCGTCCTTGCAGACCGCAGCAAAGCCGAGATGGACCTGAAGGAGCTGAGTGAGGCGGTGCAGCAGGCGGCCCCCGTGCCCCTCATCTCTCCTAAGCGGCAGATCCGAAGCCGCTTCCAGCTGAACCTGGACAAGACCATCGAGAGCTGCAAGGCGCAGCTGGGTACGTGTGCGGCCCACGGGCTGCGGCCACCGCCCTGGGAGGGCGCCCTGCTCTGCCCTCGGCCCTTTCGCACTGGGTCGGACCCCTGGTTATGGGTTTTCTGGTTCACGGTTCAGCAGGGCTCTGGCACTACATCCGAGCTTATTCTTGGGTGAGGCCGCCCCAAAACTCTGCATGCAGGAGGGGGCGTGTGGAGCCCCCTCTGTCTCCCTCTTAGGACGCAGTGGCATCTTGGCACTCATTGGCAGGGTCTGGCCCTTCCCTGCCAGCCGGCCCTCCCCACCAGGCACACACTTCTGCCCTGTGTCTCTGCCTCTTCCTCCCAGGCTGGCTGCCCACACATGGCCACTCAGCCCTCACCCCCTCCTAGAAGCCTTCCCTGAATGCCCTTTTAGTGTCCCATCACCTTCGGTGGCTAATTGCCCTGGGCCACTTGTGCTGGGGAGACAGAAGGGAAAGGGAATTGAAATACCCTCTCCTCAGCTGTCTATTATCCGTGTTGGGGGCTTAGCTCTGCATGACTTACACATGGGTAGGTGGGTTCTGTGTACTTGGAAGTGAATAGCCAAGGCCCTTTGCAGGCACAGGCTCCATCTGTCCCTGGGGTCTGGTGACCTGGCCAGGCCAGGGTGATACAATTCGAAACATGTCTTCTGTTTGTTTTTTGGTCTGAGACTCGAACTCATTGGCTGGTGCTCTACCCATTGAGCCACGCCTCCAGTCCCCAAACCGTGTGTCTCACTGGTAGCATTTGTCACAGAATACGTTAGCATTTGCTTGGTCCGGCTCTCTCTGTCTCGAGATGGCACCCAGCAGGCCGGCTTTTCTTTGGTCGCAGGTATCAACGAGATCTCGGAGGATGTGTACACGGCCGTGGAGCCCAGCGACTCGGAGGACTCGGAGAAGTCAGACAGCAGCGACAGCGAGTACCTCAGCGATGAGGACCAAAAGTCCAAGCCGGAGCCCGAGGAGCCGGCCGACAAGCTGGGGAGCCAGCCGGACAAAGAGCCGGCCTCTGCCAAGAAGAAGCCCAAAGCCACCAACCCGGTGGAGGTCAAGGAGGAGGTGAAAAGCACCTCACCACCGGGCGAGAAGGCAGAGGCGCCAAAGGACAAGGCCAGCCCCGAGTCCCCGAAGGACCTGGCCGACAAAGCCAAACCGTCACCTGCGCCCGCCAAGGAGAAGCTGAAGGGCAAAGAAGAGACGGACTCCCCCACGCTGCACCTGGGCTTGGACTCCGACTCCGAGAGCGAGCTCGTCATAGACCTAGGGGACGAGCATTCTGGGCGGGAGGGGCGGAAAAACAAGAAGGAGCCCAAGGAGCCCTCCCCCAAGCAGGACGGTGAGTGGGCGCGGGTCTGTGTTGGGCCTAGAATCACACCGTGTTATGGGATCAGGGCGCTGGCGCCTGGCGCCCCTCCCCCAAGCTGTGCTGAGCCTGGGCTAGCATCACTGTACGATTCCCTAGATGGTGACAGAACAGGCCCCGGCCCAGACCCAGGACCTACACGGGAGCCTGCAGGGTTTCTCCCTGCTCAGTCCTCAGCCCTGAGGTCTGTGTGCGCAAGCCAGGTGCTTCTAGTCAGTTGCTTTGCATCTGAGCTGTTGCTCAGCTGTTGCTAGCTCCTTTCTTTCCTTAAAGTGTTGGGATGACGATCAGGTGTGCACAAAGCCAAGGTCTGCACGTCTACCGTATTCTCCTCTCCTGAGGCTGCCCTGCCTCCCTGGCTACCTGGTGGGTGGTGCCAGGATGCTCCAGGTCTTTAGGGGAGCCGGGGCGGGGCCGGGGGGGGGGTTGGTGGGTGGGATGGATCCCGTTTGTTTTGCCTGCTTGTTTGTTGGTTGGGTTGGTTTCCTTTGTCTGGTCGGTGGGGGGCGGCCGTGCCTGCCTTGGCTGTGCTTGAAGATAAGGGGTGGGTAGAGGGTGAGCAGGCCCTGCCCCTTTTCGTTGTATTCAGAGCCAGCAGCTGGAGGAGGCCCAGAGTGCTGTGAGTGCTGATCCAAGTACTTCCTTCACGTCCTTCCTTCCCACAAGGTTATTACCTGCTGGCTGGGGGAGGCCAGGGGAAAGAAAATGCTGTTGAAGGCCCCAGTGGAGGTGGAAGAAGCGGAGAAACCCAGGGTCCTGTGTGAGGAGGGAGGGGCAAGTAGCAGGCTTTGGTGTTAACTGAGCCTGACTCCTGACAGAACGTGACTTCTCATCCACACCCTGGAGCACGATGAGTTTGTGTGTCCGGGTGTCCCACAGCTCAACGGCTCAGAGCAAGGCCCGAAGTACCACCGTGCTAGAGCTGAGAACAGGCTGCTTGTGGCTGACAGGAGTGGGGAGGGTCGATGGTAGACCGGCCCCGAGTTACCTCCTAGAGTCACAGATGGTTTGGAGACATTGAGTATGGTTTGGTGTTGTTGAGGGGCATTTATTCCTGAAGCTTCATAGAAATACCTGGGTGTGGGTGGCCTTGCTCGTTTGGCATAGTTTTATGGAATGGATCTTTGGATTGGTTGGTTTTAGGCCCAGTCTTCCTCCAGAGGAACAAGGCCAGGAAGTCAGATGCAGTGAAGTCAGTGTGAAAGGGGAAACGAAGATGGAGTAGGGAGAGGGCTAGGACAAGGTTGTAGATGAAAATAT